GTCTCATTCTTTACCTTCTTTGCACCTATCCATCAAGTGGACACTCAATATTCGCATTTCTTATTTAGCAACAATTTTCACCTTATCAAATGCCTTGTCTTCCTCGATATTTCTATTGTCTTAGTTTATTACGCAACTACTTTGCATTCTTGATTCTGGTTTTCTAGCACTGTGTTAATGATGTAATTATACCCTATTGTTTTATAATAGACTGTTATATGTTTATGATATGTATAAATACGATTTTACAGCTTTAGAAAATGATATCATCGAAAAAGATCTTCTTTGTTGAATTCTCTCTTCTCCATGACTCAATGGGCATGTTTCGGAGAGATGATTGTTTACAAAATATAGCTTCAAATGACCTCAGTAAATTATCTTCAGGTATGAAAAATTTAAGGTAACATTATTTATGCTAGTCATCGGAACTCTAGGTATATGATGAAATTAAAGAAGTTACTAGAGGTAGTCTATTCTGACCTAAAGTTAAACTTTGGAATGGTCGTTAGTGCAGGTGAATGAATTATCCGTAATGTTAGTGCCTTCGTCTTGTAATAAGCTTCCAGTTGGTCAATAAAACTCTATTAGTCTTTAACACCTACATTCTATCAGTGAAATGCTTCAGAAACAGAAATGTTCACTTGGAAACAAAAGTGCATGAGAATTCGCTGTTGATCTGTTCCATTACAGAAGTCTCATTTCATCAATTAAGTTTTCGATGGAGTCTATGCATTTGCTAGATACAAAAAATGTAAGAATTGAACTGAGGATACTTTTTGAAACTGTTAAGTATGATTGAAAGTGTCACCGAAAATCCTTGTTTTTTATCATAACCACAAAATATTAAATACACAGCAGTTATAAACCAGTTTTGCTGCTGTTATTTGATAACAACAAAAATTGTGATACACTACCACTTCTTAGAAGCATAGGAAATTAAAGAAATACTGTCTCTTAATCACAGCTGAAATAAAATAATTTCCCCGCTGGTCATACTTCAACTTGCACAGCAAAATCCACTCTCAATAGAAACTTTCGAAGTGCAGAGTATATGGTAGCAATTTTGTGGCAAACGCGGAGATACATTGTAAAATTTACCTATATGAACGTGATTACTCACTTAGTTCCGGTTTTCGATGATCACCTTAATGTTGGTCGAAACTATCAAGGCAGAGTAATCATTATCTCAACAACATTATCTTTAAAATTACAGCTAGTAGTGAATTCCTACAAGAATTTAAATATATCCGTGAAAAAAATTTGTACTGTTGAATGGAATAACATATAATAAGTATATTTCAAATGAAAAGTGTAAAACAATGGTAAGCTTCATTTCAGTAAATTGTTAAGAAAATATTCCAACTGTTGGTGTGATCACGGACTACCAGGACGCGCGTTTCGCCCTACTCAGGACTCGTCAGCTGGATGTAGCAGCACCTCAATGAGTGATGTGATTACCATTGTTCGCTTAAACCGGCAGAGCGTTATCTATTCAGCCAAGTAACCGAGAGAATAAAACTCTAGTCCTGGAGTCTTCTTTAGTCACCGAGATCTATGTTACATCATGAATCAGCAGTAGTATCAAGGCAATCGCATAGGAGCCCATATACCAACAGAGATCGAGGAATTCGACTGTGTATAACAACGGGAAATTACAATTATCATAACAACAGTTACACTCACTATATTTTGAAACAGACTCTCTGAAATATTACACAACATTGTCGCTACAGGATTAAATTCTCTACACATTTTAAATTTATTTCGGATTTAATCTTAACCTGATGGCGATTAATTTCTTAAAACAGAATTTGTGTGACAATCCAACGTCAACACAACAGGAAGAACTCAACACCTGTTTCGAATGTATGGAAAATCTTACTACCCATATCACAAAGAGGCGAGAAAATTAAGACATCTCATTGTTGTATAGTTATCTTCATATGGCTATGGACAACAAATTATGTCCAAGACGTAAACCAGTAAACAATACTGTTACATTGTGTGCTAATCATAATAAATCAATAAACATTGAACTTAAGTACCTACAGTGGTTTTATCCCGTCTTATTGTGTGGTTGTATGTTAATGTTATTCAACACTTAGGTAAATTCCCATGTTCCGCTAAAGACATGCCCCAATAAGGTCAATAATATACAAAAATACTCGGACATTGCAATGCGTACATCAACGTAAACACAATAGGGTGAGGTAAAACCACTATATTCTAGTCCAGTATAATTAGGTGGAGAGATAAGTTGGTCATCGAAACTACGCTTAACACATGTAGTAGGAATGACGCAACATCTATACCTGAAATATGGATAACATTACTACTAATAAAAACAAGTTATAGGAATATAATTACCAGATATTGAAAGGTGTATGATGGCAGTTATGTGAGTATGAGCACTTATTTATGTTTGGAATGTCCTCAAGTAAACAATATTCTACCACACTGTGTGCTATATATCAAATAAAAAATTTAATATGGAATTACATGCTACCACAGTGCTCAAGTTTTACATTCACGGTGATATTCAAATCAAAGACCTACTGGCGAAAGGTAACAAGTTGGCAGAAGAGGTGAGGCACGGCAGCGGAAGAAAACGGGACTTCCTTCAAGTGGACGTAGAGAAGACAGAGGTGATGAAGGTATCCAACCACTACTACCAACAACGACAACAACAGGCATCAATCACCATCAACACGAGGAATCTAAAGGAAGTTGTCTATTTCACCCACCACCTAGGCAGGACAGCATCGTTTCAACTGCAGGCGACGGAGGCGGCAAACATTAGGATGTCAAAGCCTAACAGGTTCGGAAAGACAGCAAGATGGGCATTCATTACCAAAAATCAGTGTGGAGATCTACTGCACTGCACTACACTCCACTCAGCATAAGGCATGAACAACATTCGGATTTCCAACACTAATTCAGTCAGGTAAGTCAATGCTTCTATGTGATGGTTGAGAGAGTTGACGTGTCATGAAAATCATTTCCAACAAACTACAGACCTGCATCACATCAACAGCTGCTACCTACACTCACTGGATATTGAAGATCAAATTAGATCAGTTGGCCGGAATACTAAGAATGAGCAAGGAGTAACTCTGGCTGGATGGCTGGCAACGAACCAACGAGGCATGAACCGATCGCGCAACCAATATGGTGAAGAAGACAGTGGAGATGGATTGGATTGGGGATATACTGAGAAAATCGTTTTGTGGCAACACGAACAAGGCCAAGCCGTGGAGTGGAATTCGTAGTGGAAACGATGAGTTGGGTGTCCGAGGTGAGGGTGACATGGAGGAGATCATGTTAGGAAGAAATGAGAGTTTGTGTGCAGTGGTGTAGCCAGATTGAAAAGACTGTAAAGAAGAGAGTGTAGTGGCTATGTACTACTAAACCCATATGTTCTACTAGGAACCTGAAGGACAAATAAGAAATAATGATTATGACTGTTTCACAAGCTTCATGGATGTTACGAGTAATGAATCTTATATTCGTCGGGAATTATCTAGATGGAGAATGCTGAAGACTTACACGTATAATACAATGCCTTTCACTTAGATTTCATTGAAACTAGATGGTTATTTCATATTCATTTATCAAACGCTTGTTGATTTGCTATATTATAGGTGTGAGGTAATTTGAAACTATAAACTAACTACATTTTGCTTAACTACTTCCATATGTTGGATTAAGAGGGCGATATTTACAAACTTATTAACAAAAAGCTGTCATTAGTCAGTTCTTTTTCTGAAAGCATCTTCAGTTGTTTTGCTAAAGAAAATACGATGGGATTTCATTAATCAACCTATGAGGTGAAACATAATATGGTGAAAGATACCTATATTACCAAATGAAGGCTTGCATTTTGATGAGATTTCAGTTTGAGGAAATGATAACCGATAGTGAACATACAGGCTGAAAACCATATTCTCATAGGTAGCGAACACGTGATGTAGAGTGAACCATAGGTATACCAACAAATATAGTAGTCGTCTTAATACTTTCAGTATATGACCAAGCAAAGTATTTAAAAACTATACGTATTTATAATGTGGAACGCGTAAGATGACGAGTCCCATATAGAGGGAAAGCTATAACCCGGATCCCGTTGGTAGTTACTAGTTATCCCTGATATTCAGATATCGGCACTCAAGCTTATATGATAACAGATCCTGATCACTACCTTAGAAACTACTCAACAAATGAAAATAACGGCCAAATATATTCTTCTTTCAAGTTGGTATTCATTACAAATTGGCATCGTTTGGTGAAGTATTGGAAACCTGTGAGGAAAAGACAGCTATTTCGTCATATTAATAGGACTCCGCAGCAGTGCACACTCATAATCCCATTACGAGTCATATGTATTGAGTAACTCCACAGAGATAAACAAGTCCAATAGTTGTGTATGTAGCTGAAAAATTCAGAATATAGCGACCATTATAATTTATCTTGGTGGCTAGCAGTGGAATCCAAGATGCTCATTTCACCCTATTTGGTACTCTTCAGCCGTATATATCTGAATACCAGTGAATGTTGTTTCCACTTCGATTTGAACCTCGTAACCATTGGTTTAAATGCCAAAATGTTGTCAACTAGATGGCTAAAGCACGAGAACCATATGAAATTATTATTATTGCTAAAGAGGGAGCAAAAACAATGTATTTCCATGGTACCGATTACATTAGATACTGGATCAAGCTTTCATCTGTCAACAAAATAATATCTTGACTATTCTATTCCTGATGTTAATTAGTTGTAATTCTTAACAGTATCTTCTTCGATTTCTCTGTAAATGATTCTTTGAAACCAAGATTCCTATAGAAAGGAATCCAGTAAGATGATATTTAGTACTATAGTAAGTCTTATGTATAAATGTTATAATAAGTTATCAATTTCATAAAAACATAATTATGGTAATGAGCTTTACCATATTACATTATTAATATTTTTGTATGAATTATAACTTGTTATATAAAACTCACATGTATCCTGTCAACATTATGAATAACTTTATCATTAAGATTACTGATTTTATCTAAACTTTCAGTCACTTTCATAACTTCTAGTGGATAATCTGTTACAGCATAAGAAATGGCTAATGTATAATAAAAAACGGTGTTTATATTCATAGTTCATTACTGTCTACCTATTGATTTGTGTACAGTATTGGTTAGTTAAGCTACTATGATATTCAAATTAGGTAAAAGTATGATAAGTATGTACACGTGTTATTATGTAAAATTGTCATCTACCTTCTTCTTCATTATATACTGTGAAGATGGTATGCGGTTGTCTGTGGTATATCATTCTGGAGTATTGAAAAACGTCTTCTGTTTAACTTGTAAATACATAGAATCGATTTGTCTAGAAGTCTCACTGGACGGATATGTTTTTGTAGAGTAAATCTACATTTTAGTATCAGACTTTTGTTAATAATATGAGTCAATCTGGTGTGGAATGTTTTTCCATTTGAACTGATTCACTGGATATATCACACAATGGAACAGTATGATTTACTTCATCACGTTTCAATCACAATTTATATTGTCCATAATCATGTCAGGGTAACTCCAAGATTTTGAAACATGTTCCCTATACCCTCAACTCTCTTACCTTCTTCATTTTATGCAAAAGGAATAATTTAGCACTTGTTCCAGATATATGAGAAGCTTTGAAACCGAGAATATAACAGAGAAGTGAGAATTAGAGTTACATAAACCATGCATAGTTGACGTCAAGTTACTCTGATATAACTGTGGATAATCAATTGTATCCGAATAATTATGCAGTGATACATCGTTAAGAATCGACCGACATATACAGTGTTAGGTTACACCCCGAGGTAATGTTTTGTGAATAGGTGAGAAGGTGAACATACATTCACATTTCCACATTGAACTCATGGAACAACGAATGATAACATTTCTTCTCTTACTATCTTCATGTATGAACATGATAAATAACTAAGTATTTGATTTTAGAAGTAGTATTCATCATGGACTGACATCAGTTGAGGAACCGTTGAATATCTGGAAGTACTGGACACCTGTTTCGTCCAACTAGTATGAGATTCCTCTGCAGTATGCACCCACGACCCGGCAACATGTCGAACTCAGCACTTTCAGGTTTCACGACGAACGTGTCAACCATTCAGCCAGTGGGTCGGTTTCCAGTGCTTCACAACTCCCAACTTCTGTCAATTCACGATGATTTAGTGTGACCATCACCCAAGGTCTTTAGTTAGCATCCAATTCACTTCCGACTAGTTGACGCCATAGGTCACGGCTTCTCATTAGAGCTTCGTCATGCGGATGCGGATGTTGATGCAAACTGAAGACCTTGGGTGATAGTCGAGCTGTATCATCATGAATTGAGAGAAGTTGGTAGTTGTAAAGCACTGGAAACCGGCGGAGTGGCTGAGTGATTAATGCGTTCGCCGTGAGACCTGAAGGTGCTGATTTGGATCTGTAGCCGGGTAGTTGGTGGGTACTGTTGAGGATTGACATGCTAGTACGAAACTGCTATCCAGTGTCCCAGATTTTCAATGGTTCCCCAGCAGATGACAGTCCATGATGAGTACTACTTCTAAATACTTTATTCTCATATTAGTAATTTAACGTTACACAAGCCAGTCTGCAGGCATAATCACATTGATATACGGTTCAAAATCTACATAGTTTACGGGACCTGATTGGTACGGAATGGAGGTCATTAAATTCGTTTAAAAACATCAAAACAATTCACAAGCCGTGAAATGAACAAGAAAACAACTTTTTTGAGCATGTATGGAGTGTTAAAGTTTAGGTCGTTTTCAATCATACTTTATTTTTCACCATTAATGGCACCAAGGTGGCACAAAATTCCAAATTTCTGTTACAGGCAGTTGACATATCTGATTCGTCTTCGCAGTGCCTCGTTACGCTAGATAAACGTCTATTTTACCATAAAATTCTTATGCTCATTGCTTCGGGTACCAAAAGAACCCACACTGACGATTTTTAGAGTTTGTAGGTTCCCATATAATCATGTAATTCAAGTGAATATCTATTCAAGTCTTATCATTCACAGCAATGTAGATTTACTCCATCAGAACTAGGTATTGTAATGCAAAGGAATAAAGATTTGGAAAAACTACAGACCATACTGTTCACGTTAAGGTATGCAGCATTATCAAGGAGGTATATTCACTGTTAGATGAAGTACTAGAGAAGTCTGTTTCATAGCCATTATTGTGAATATGTTCACCTTAAAGTTAATAGGTGGGCTGATCTCCTAGATTTTACTGTCTGTCCAGATTTCCATTGCCATTATCACCTCCCAGAAATTTCAGTAATTCGAGGATTGACAAATGTTCATATAGTGAGATGGTCAAATGAGTCAATGGGATCGGTAATTCTCACTTATTGGACAGTAATTTTCGTGGGAGCACAGTTTTATTGCTTCTCAAAACAATGGAATGTTGTGAAGTAGTGACGCATATTCTTCATTTGTATCCTGTTGTCATCACTAAAGATTATCTTGATGATGTGGGTCTTCGAGGATTCGAGCTAAATACTTTATTCGTTTAGCGTTCAGATTTTCAGATAACTCCATAGGTTTTCATCATGGTCCAGTCACTTCATACTCTAATGATATCTTAGTGTTACAACTAACTGAAACTTTGGTAGAAAAAACAATAACAACAAAAAGCAGGTGTAGCCTCTGCACAATTGAGGTTGTAAATTGTTTATATATTGAGAGGTCCTAATATGTCTGTAGTTCTAGTAGCAGTATTAGTGGTGCTTTTTATGGTACTGTCCTGTAGTGTATAGTTGAGCAGTCTTATAAACCTAATCAGAGTGTTTGATACTCGGGCTTCTCTAGGTAAACTGTTCCGTATCTGAGCATATTTTATCACAAAGAAGTTCTCCCTAGTGACTGTTTTGAAATGCTCAGTTACAGTTACGTTTCTTAATCCATAAAGAGTTTTGTTTATGAACCACATTTCTGTGCATGAACTATAAGTTAGCCTGTTGAGGAGCTTATAAAGCAGTATTAGGTTCAGTCTGAGCCATCGTTTCCATAGTGGTTCAAGTTCTAGGATGTTGTGCCTGGCGGCATATTTTACGTCCTTATTCGTGTTGAGTATTCTCATCGTAAAGTTTATCTCCACTCCTTCGACTTTCAGTCTATCTGTATCCTGTATACTACCGTAGATAAATGAACAAAATTCGCGCAGTGGTCGGACACATGTTTTATACAGGGTAACTCTAGACTCGGCACTGATATGACTTGTCATCGTTTACAGCCTAAGCACGCAGTAACTTTAACAGGTTTTATTCGCTGAAGGAATGACATCCACAAAGTCGGAAAAACTCAGAAGTTTGGGCTTACACCAATTATATTTCCTTTGTAATCCATTTACCTGATGCTAAACTTAGCCAACTCCATCAGGTCAAATTATGATCCTAAAGTATATAAAATTTAAGGTTCTTATAGTTGTTACTAATTTGGAAGTTGCTCCAACGCTACGGTTTTGGTACCAGTAGTCCTTACCAACCTCATTCAACAGCTATATGATGACGCCACATGCCAAGTGATCCACAATGGAAAGCTCAGTGATACCTTTGAAGTGAAGATGGGAGTAAGACAAGGCTGCCTACTATAACCCATGACCTTCCTGATTGTAGTGGACTGGATCATGCAACAAACCGAGAGGGGTGAGAAGATGGGCGTATGCTGGACCGACGAGAAGACCGTAGAAGATTTGGATTTCGCCACCGACGATGCATGCTTAGTGTCGCATGAACTCAAAGATCTACAAGCGAAAACTACTAAGTTGACAGAAGGGGCGAGGCAAGGCATTGAAGACGGGACTTTAAGTGAATGCAGGGAAATTGAGGTGATGAAAATACACGGCCAGCAACAGCATCAACAAAGAGCACCAATCAGCATCAACGGAAGGAATGTGAAAGAAAGTAATCTCTTTCACCTACATACCTAGGCAGCATCGTTTCAACTACAGGCGACACAGACGAGAATGTCAAAACCAGGATCGAGAAAGCAAGATAGGCTTTCATGAACCTGAAACCAGTGTGGATACCTAATGCACTCAACTCAGCATAAAGAACAAAGTCCGGACTTTCAACACCAATTCAGTCAAGTCAGTGCTGCTATGTGGTTCAGAGACTTGAGGCATTACGGAAGGCTTTTCCAACAAACTACAGAAATTCATCAACAGCTGCCGCCTACGCTCGTTACTCAAGATCAGATGGCCAGAATAATAAGAATAAGCAACAAGGAACTCGGGGAAAAAACCAACCAAGAAGCTATCGCTGAACAAATATGCAGAAGGAAGTGGAGATGGATTGGGCATACACTGAGAAGGCCGATTGGGGACATCATGCGACAGGCTATGCCCCCGAGTAGAACCTAAAAGGGAAACGATGAGTTGGGTATCGGAGGTGAAGGTGACATGGAGGAGATGGTGTGAGAAAGAAATGAAAGCTTGTGTGCAGTTGTGTAGCCAGGTTGAAAAGACTGGAGAGAAGAGAGTGGAATTTAGACGTGCTACTGAAGCCGTATGTTCCACTAGGAACTCAAGAGGAAAAAACTAGTAATATAATAATAGTTTTTACTGTTAAAGTTTGGTTCACAAATGAACTTTCTAAAGTCATCTAAATGAAATATCATGAATGTTGTTCAGGTCTGTAGAAGTAGAAAGCTGCCTGTTGTACCCATTTGTTGAACTGCTTACAAAAATTATATTATTCTTCCAGCTTTAGGACACTTTAATTTAATGACTAACCACTTATATGAAACTTTACGGTTGTCACAAGGTAGTGTTCTTCACGGTTTACCGTCAGTTTGAGAAGTACACAAGACTTGGGAGGATTGGATTGGCATTTTGTTCATCAGTGGGACTCCTCATATGTGAACACTCACAACCCACCAGCGATCGAACCCTGGGATGGCAGGCTTCGCAGTATGTGTGTTTTCATCCAGCAACTTTGTCGTAGGCCGATTCTATCAAATCATAGGGTAGTAGGACCATCATCTAACGTCTTCACATCCAGTTTGACTGACTCCAAAGGTCATGGGTTCTCATCGGAACATCAAGAAATCCACTTCGAAGGATATAACTAATGAGCACTAGAATGTAATTCAGTTTGGATGTTTGTGGAGATTGACTGAGTTTAGGGTAGCATTCAGAATGTGTGTAGAACGACTAATTCCACCAAGGCTTATTCGACTTTATAAAGACACTTATGTCAGACCCTTCGTAGACTTACCGTTGAAATGTATATATAATTCCTCATACTAGTGTGATAACTTAAGTTATTCAGAAGTCTCGATAGAGGCAGTACCCTCCAAATTAGCAGCCGAATTCTTAATAGACTGAAGTATAGCACCCAACTGCTAACTTGTCTGTGTAGGCAACGAAGTATGGGCGTTTTTTGAAATTTCTGACATTATCTATTTGCTTATCAACGAAGCTTTCCAACCGAGACTACCTTAATGGCCAGTTAGTTAGTCCGTAACTACCTTTCTATTTCGACTATACTTCGATATGCATGAGTCAATCCATAATTCGGATACCCTTGTGCTTCATAAAAGATTTAGTTCATAAAACGTGAATTCGGAGAAATTCAAGTGAAAGATTATTTTTTGCGCAAAAGTATACGATAAACCAATTCCTATTATTCTATTATTAATATTATTATTTGTCCCTTGGTTTCCTAGTCGAACATAGGGCTTCAGCAACACGTCTCCATTCCTCTCTATTCTCTGCAATCTTTTGAAGCTGGCTACACAACTGCACACAAGCTTTCATTTCCTCCTCGCACGATCACCTTGAATGCCCAACTCGTCGTTTCCCTTTTAGGTTCTACTCGGGGGCATAGCCTGTCGCATGATGTCCCCAATCGGCCTTCTCAGTGTATGCTCAATCCATCTCCACTTCCTTCTGCATATTTGTTCAGCGATAGCTTCTTGGTTGGTTTTTTCCCCGAGTTCCTTGTTGCTTATTCTTATTATTCTGGCCATCTGATCTTGAGTAACGAGCGTAGGCGGCAGCTGTTGATGAATTTCTGTAGTTTGTTGGAAAAGCCTTCCGTAATGCCTCAAGTCTCTGAACCACATAGCAGCACTGACTTGACTGAATTGGTGTTGAAAGTCCGGACTTTGTTCTTTATGCTGAGTTGAGTGCATTAGGTATCCACACTGGTTTCAGGTTCATGAAAGCCTATCTTGCTTTCTCGATCCTGGTTTTGACATTCTCGTCTGTGTCGCCTGTAGTTGAAACGATACTGCCTAGATAGGTGAAAAAGGTTATCATTCTAGTTTACAGTAATACGGAAAAAAGTAAAGCGGTTTTTACTTTCATCTAGACACGACTAAGGAAGGTGAGTTCAACGTGCCCTTAGAAATCAATGTGACAAGTACCAGGTTAACATTGATGTTTGATAGTTTGATTTCTCTCCAATCAACATGTTTTGAGATATAGCTGTGTCAAGTTATCTCTTATCCAGGGAATACTTTCTTCTATTATAACTGTCAGAATTCTACTTTATCATTAGTAATCAGATCAACGTTTGTTACGTTCTACGGTATAATTTTCTACAATATATGAAGACTATACTGCCAACAGCCTCAGTACCAAGTTGATATTTGATGTCAGTGAGATAAATAATCATAATTAGTATGCCACCTTACTATTGGTTCCCAAAGATCTTATGGAGAAATAGTACACAGAAGTATTGTCGAATAAACTCTCACTTCCATTGGTATTTGTTATCCAGGTCAGAATTTATACGAATGATTATACAAAATGGAATTTCTTTACAATAATTAAACTCAGAATTGATTTCCTACAGACTGTTGATCAGATATATTACTGACATATCAGAGAATAGTGATTTTAGATAGCTTCTAAAGTATAGAATGATATTTCTGTGAAAGAATTAGCTATAATCATAAAAGAAGATAGGAATGAGCTAACTAAAATCAATCGGATAGATGATACTTTGGTCAAAATGTTTCTAAAATGAATTTGCGTATCTATAACCTAATTAAAAAGATGTAGAAGGTAAAAAATAGAAAGAAGAAGAAGCCAAGTTACTGAATGAATTTTGAGACTTTAGAATGAATGAAATATCTAATCAGTTCAAGAATTTTAACATTTCACAGGTAATTATTTAGTTGTATTAGTAGTAGTATATACATCTTTAAATATTTCAGTGTTTGGGTAATTAATTAGGAAATTTAATCACTTTTCAGGTATTACTGACTTGCTTTCAAATAGATATGATGAGAAGCCATGACCTGTGGAGTCAAGTAGTCGGAAGTGAAGCGGGTGCTAACTGGGTGATAGTCGCACTATATCATCGTGAATTGACAGAAGTTAGGAGTTGTGAAGCACTGGAAACCGACCCGTTCGCCGTGAAACCTGAAGGTGCTGACTTCAATCCGTAGACGAGTCGTGGGTGCATACTGCAGAGGAATCTCATACTAGTTGGACGGAACAGGTGTCCAGTGCTCCCAGATATTAAACGGTTCCTCAACTGATGACAGTCCATGATGAATACTGCTTCTAAATTAAGCAAAATGATTATACTTTAAATAAGGCTGAATGAAGTTGTTGCTATGCTTTTTTTTCTGTTCAGTAAGATTCTACTAATCACTTGCCAGATCCCTTCTAGTATTTAATTCATGGTTACTTCGTTCCCCGTTGTCTAACCTTCAGTACTTCAGAGTAGCTAGTACTGGAATCCAGGACAAATTCCGTAGATAAAATAAGTCTAATAAGGGAAGTTTTACACCAAAAACGTCCATTCAAAACGCAAGCATAGCAAAAAAAAATAGCATGCAACTGTTTTCTTTTAAATGATACTCCAACATGCAGTGAAAGACTCTATATCTTCCAACCTTTGAAATTCTGTGTAATCCTAGAAAAAGTCCGTCGTTCGCAGATGAAATAGATAAACTTATCATTCTTGAGAAGATAAAACGCATACTTCAGGAAAAATCAAAGTATTCGATAAACGATTACACCACATCCAACTATGTTCGTCCATTTGGATGTGGTTGTATGTGTGTGAATATGCGGATATATGTAAGCAGGAGTAATTGATGCAGACATTCTATGATGTCAAAGTGGTTTTTGAAACAGATAAACTCTTATTCATTTGATAAACATCGGTGGTAACAACCATTTCGACAGCCTTATTTATGCTCCAGCCATAAGAGCTTTAAATCCATTATTTTGCACAGTCTATCGTGGTGAAGTTGATCTTATACTTATTTCAAAGATCAATCGCAGGTAAATTTCCATCTACTCGTCTTTTTTATTCACTTCCTTATAGTCATAAATGTTTTTTATTAGCTCAGTCCATATAAATAAAATGCATTGAGCTAATACATCACAATTTATGTTAATGATGGATCGTGGCTAGCAGTGGAATCTAGGATGCGCATTTCGTCCTATTTGGGACTCGTCAGCTGGATGTACCTGCTTCCCAGTGAGTGATGCTGTTCCCACCGGGGAAAAAAACCACACCCGTCTCACAAGAAGTGGTGTAGTGGCCTTTGAAGCGATCACGATAAGATTGAATATGCATATTTTTTCAACTAACTGAGGTATGAATCTCACCATTCAGCCAATAACCTTGATAATTAAGATTAGTCATGAGAAGTTCATGGTTGTTATTATTGTCATTTGTCAACGAATGTATAAGACAGTCAAAATGTGACCTACGTTCGCTAAATATATTTGATGTATCATTTGACTATATATTTTAGTGTTAATAAAAAATCCATATATTCCGCTGAAGAAGATGTGGCTTAAACAGAAATATCTTGTTTTGGATTTTCTAAGTGCACGGTGGGATTATATGGAAATATATTCCTATAATCATTACCTTTATATAGTTACATATTTCATGCCACAAAGAGAATATTCTTGTTTGAAACCAAACATATTCTGCTGAGAATAAGACATATTTTACCGTTAATCATTATGAAACCTACAACAATACACACCACGTAACAGTAAGTGAATGAATATTCGTATAAAAGGAGCAAACTGTAGACAGTAACCAAAATATAGGATAAGTCAAAGTTTGAAGCTGATGAAACAACTAGATCGTTGCAAGAATCCAATCATTGGCATTCTAGTTACCGAAATATCAGATAAACTGACTGAATAGTGAGATTCATAGCTCAGTCAGTTGAAAAAATACGCATATTCAATCTTATCGTTATCATCCCTCTTACTAGGACTAGTCTATCAATCATAGTTATCTTCGATAGTTTACTCAACAGTCAAAAGTCAATGGTCACCAGTTGTCCACTGGTTAGAATACTGATGCGGTTCAAATTTTCATTTCACCTTCAATCATCACTTGGTATAAATACTAGTTTAGTATTGAAGTGAAGCAGTCGAACCTCGTAGCTGAGTTGATAGAGCACCGAACTGGTAACCCTGTGGTCTCTGGTTCGAATCCGGCCTCAGTTTAGATTTTCATCTCACTTTCAATCATCATCCAGTACAAATACTATTCTGCCAAACTACATCCATCTCACATAGTCAAATGATGATCTTAATTATTCAGGTTGGACACGAAAATCATCCAACGAATGACCCATGTTCACTAAATATATCTGATGTATCAATTGACTATATATATTTTAATGTTAATAAAAATCCACATATTCTGCTGAAGAAGGTGTGGCTTACACAGCGAAACATTCAGAAATATCTTGTCTTTGATTTTGTAAGTACACGATGGGATTATTTAGAATTGTATTCTTATAGTGATACTAATAGGCTTTAGAAACTTTGATTCTAAGTTCGAATTTCTGAAATTTCTGTCTACGATTATTTAGCATCCCCATATTGTTTTACAGTTTATAAAATAAAGATGAATTCAGTCTAATATAATTTATTGTCGTTATTATTCAGGAAAATATAATGATCATTTTTTAGGAATAGTCTTCATAGGTAATTTAGACCAGTTTACAAACAATATATCCTGATTTCATTTATATTGGCTCTCCATGGACTTGAGAGATTAATTTTGGTGGTGCAGAACAAGGACGGTTTGATTTGATCCATTCATATGCTGGATTTAAGTAATCAATGCAAAATGAATCACCTTCATCGTTTTTGAATTCCTCGCCTAACAAGTCAAAAAGCATATAGGCAACGTAACGATATGATAGTTTGTATTCAACAGCAACATTAGTAACAGTAATAATAATTATTATTATTTTATTTCAGAACAGTACTTTCAAACGAAATAGTCGATGTTATTGATAAAATCAAAGCGTCCGTCTATAGCTGAAGCATTAGCCATCCAGAAGTTCAAACCAGCGTTATCCATCCAATAGAGCTACGCCCAACCTTTATCTTTGCCTTGGGCATCATAAAGCTTCGTCTGCCATAGATTCATTTTGTATCAGGTAACTAGACATGTATACCTTGTTCATTTTTCTACTCTGTCACAGATTTAACCTGCATTACGTGATCACAATCCTTCTTTCATGATCCCCTGTTTATTCTCATACCCTGTCATAGGTTTACCTGGTATTACACAATCGCTATTTTATCTTCATAACCCTTCATTCAGTTCCCCACTTTGTCATACATTCATCCTGTATTACGTATTTACATTTAATTTCATAATCCTCTATCTATTTTCTTACTCTAAACTCAAATGTGTATTCATTAACTCCCTTCAGTTACTCAATATATTTTTCCCCCTGATCGGAAACAATTGTGAAACGTTCTACCCACTGTGATATATATTCACGAATGTATAGCTTTGTAAATGACTTCGTTGAAAAAATATTTTCTTCTCTGAAGCCACGTTTTGTCTTTTCCTACCATAAAATGAGTATATTCCGCTTTTTAAATAATATGAAATAGCCAGCTGGCTCTAGATGGGCGTCCAGTCCATAATGAAGAATTAACAGAAATGCAAACGTAATTTTGGTGGTGGTCGTCGTCGTCGTGGTTCATTCGCATAGTATAAAAACCTGCAACTCAAGCTAATGTACTTTCTTGCACCGAAAAGTCCATTTCCATATAACGTAACATTTTTACCCACCTTTGTTGTTGACTCGATAAATGGAGAGTTGAAAAGAGTTTGAAAATGTGCCAGAGTACATGATATGTTCAAAGGACATATTTAAATGATTAAAACAAATTGAAAGGAAAGAATATGATGGAAAATGTTCGATGGATAAATTTCATTGTCAAAGGTCCAGCAGGCCGCCGTACAATATGTGTACGAACAATAATAGTAAATAAAAAATGAGCACACTGGGATTTGGCTCAATCTGGTAGGTTTGTAGTGCACCTTCCTGGCACCAAATACAACTAGGGCTAAAATAAATAAATTAAATTAACTAAATAAACCTCTAGCTAGCCTCCAGATGCTTTGGGTGTTCTAAGTTTTGTTTTAACAAGCATGCATCCAAGCAGGCTTGGATGCCGTCTTTGCGCTTCCTTAGTGCTGGTCAACACGCATGTACTCAGAGTCCCTGGCTCAGCTATATTAGCCAGATAAGTTGAATAAACGTTTCTCCCATTCATTACTATTACATTTACTCTAATTAAATACATTGCCTCTTCGAATATATTCCTGAAACCAGTTCTTTTGATTTGTGTTTCGTTATCAGTACTTACACGTTAGGTAAGGTACTGGTTAAGTAGGTACTAGAGCACATCAAGTTAAGTAGGGTTGGTCAAACGTTAAGAAATAGTAACACACACTCCCTACACGTCGGTGCTGAAACTGGATGTGATGAACTGAGTTAATTTTATTAATAATATACGTTTAAGACTTGGGCACTGCAGTAATATATAGACAAACGGAACGAGTAGAAATGGGATCACCAATATCTCCAATCATGGCAGATACATTTATGGATTGTTAGGAAAACATGGCATTACAAACGTTTAATCTTTCACCTAAGATATATCGGTGATATGTGGATGATACATTTGCTGTGTTGAAATCGGAACATATTGACAGTTTCCTCACAAGTAACATAAACTCAGTATTGGATGCAATCCGATTCACTTACGGGGAGATAGAAAATGAACCAGGAGAATAACCTATGTTGGATTGCAAGATAAAACGAAGGACAGACGGTAGTTTGGACACTACCATCTACAGAAAACCGACACATTCCAACAGGTATGTAGACTTCATGTCATCTCATCCAATGCCGGTAAAGCAGGTTTAGTCTTGTCCAAATGATAGAGCTAGAAAACTCACTTGTCATTGCAAAGACCTAAGCAAGGGACTAGAACACATGACAGAAGCACTATTAGTTAGTGATTATCCTCCGCAGTTTATCAAGAAATTCGTAAGAACACATTAGAAAGGAGATAATAACAATAAGGGGAGTAGGAAGGAGTTCACAGCCTCCATTTTATTACCGTATAGCAAAAACAGCAGAAACTTCACATAGGATTCTTAAGAAAGCGGGAATTAGGCTGAAATTTAAACCTACAGACACTCACAGATAAACCTTGTCGGTTTGAGGATACGATAGAACCAACTAAGCAAAATAATCTAATCTATCAAATCCCAAGTAATGAATGCAAGGTTAAGTGTATAGGTCAAACTAGCGGGTCGGGTTCAGTCAGAATAGTCAAACATAGGAATCTAGCTAAATATAGAGTGACAAACCCCAATAAGATGAATGATACAGAAAACATTCGGCTATTGCAGTGCTCATGCATTAACACACAATATCGTCGGATAAAACCACTGTACTGTAGTGCAATATAATTAGGTGGAGAGAGAGATTCATTACTGAATCTTTGTTCATCGAATTAACACGCAACACGTAGCAGGAATGACGCAACATCCATACTAAAGATATGGAAAATTTTACTAACATTCAAAGCAAGGAATTTGAGGCAACAAGACTATAATTATCTGGTATCGAAATGAGTATGAGTACGTCGATGTGAGTATGAACACTAATTTATGCTTGGAATGTCCTCAAGTAAATAGTACTGTATCACACTGTGTGCTTTACATCAAATAAACAAATATTATATGGTAATATTATTATCATTTACCATTATTATTATTCACGATGACAGCTATAGTAATACAGTACTAGTTCTCACTGATAACAAGTATATAAGTTTTACACTTGTTTAAGTAATCCTACTGACATACTTTAAACTACTGTCTAAAATACCACCGATTAACTTTTAAAAAGATTATCTCTAAGACTTCTCTATTCGACAGATTGCAAGATTAAACGAACGAAGGACAGAAATCTGGAGACTAGTGTCTATAGGAAACCTACCCATTTGAATCGCCACTTAGACTTCAAATCCTCCCACCCCATTTCAGTTAAAGTAGGCTTAGTTAAATGCTTAAGTGATAGGGTGGAAAAGCTTACTAGTAGATCGGAAAATCTGCGTTAAGAAAGTAGACACATCAAGATTACCCTACGTCTCCATAACTACCCACCAAAATTTATCAATAAATTCATAAGAAATCGAAAGAAAAACATTAGCAGTGGTATTAGTAATAGTAGTAATACACGTGGTATCAATAGTAATTCCACTACTAATGGTATTAATGTTAACAGAGTTAAGAAAGAATTCAAAGCCACTGCTGTGTTACCATATTAGGAAGGCACCTCAGAAGCATTACGGAGAATCCTCAATAAGGCTGGCTGGGATTAAAGTGGCACTCAAACCAACAAACTCGCTTACAAACAAGCTTTGTAGGTTAAAAGATCCTATCGATGCAATTAAGCAGAATAATCTGGTTTACCAAATCCCTTGCAATGATTGTGAGGTCGAGTACATAGGTCAAAGCAGTCGACCAGGCAGGGTCGATTAGAATAACAGAGCACAAAAACGCTAAGCTAAATCAAGATTAGTAGATCCTAATAAGATAAGAAATGTAGAGAAAAGCTCGGCTATAGCTCTGCATGCGATGACACAGAATCATACAGTAGGATGGGATAGGGTGACAGTGTTGAAAAGTAACTTAGTTGGGTGGAGAGAGAGAGAGAGATGTATAACCGAATCTTTGTTGATCAAATCAACACAAAATACATGCGGTAAGAGAAATGGTTCTGCACCTGTCCAAGATATATGGAAAATTCTACTACCCTTATCATCACAGAGAAGGAGAGAGAATTAGGAATATATAAAGTCTGTCTCGAAGTTGTGGAGTTACCTGATATGAATATGGACAATAAATTGTGTCTGAAAAAAAAACAATATTTATAGGTCAGTACACGGATTTCCGGAGCCACTCATTCAGTACTCAACAAACTTGATCAAATCCCTTATCAACAGAGTGAGAATATGTTGTGATAATTTGATAAATAAGAAGTTAGAATATATCTGAACGTAATTCATTGAAATAGAATGCCTAAACAACTTCATAAAAAGACGCCTGAATAAAGCAAGAGGAAATGAACTTGAATTTATTACAGTTCAGAAGAGACTGCTGTTTACAAAACTAAAATTCAGTGGAGATGTAGCCGGAGAAGATTGACACTAGAAAGTTGATAGAACTATTAGGAGGATACTTTACACTGTGTCATTGTTGTTGTTGCTTAGGTGATAGATAAGTTACCTAGCTTTTTATTTCTATGCTTATTTGAATGTTTAGTTGATCCTGTGAAGTAAGTTATATAAGGCGTACTACTAGACAAGATAATAGATATGTTGGTGAGCATCTTCCTTCATGGCTTAAAAAGAGACAGATAAAATTCATAAGAAGCCCTGTTTCATCTCACTGAGTTGATAGTGATCATATAGTAGATAAAACGATAGCTTCAAGATTATCTCTAGCCTACCATCTAATCTTTCTTAAGATATTTCAACGCGTGTTTCACATGTAGCAGAAGCTGTGGGAATTCGACTTAATAGTCCCGGTCTTTGTATCCAGAGGTTTCGACATATTTTGTCTCCCTTTTAACTAGCTTCATTATCTGACACTTCATATCCCTCACTTATTCATCATCCCTTTTTTGTCCTCATTATTTGTCTAGACTTTGGTTATTCACTTACTTCACCCTTCAGTGTTACGTATATTTCTACTATTACTAGCATTTATTCATCGTCAATCCATACTGTGAACACTTCACATTCATGACATCGTCATAGAAGTCACCTGATTTTTCAGCCTACCTTTATATAAACGAGTAATTATCGGTCGTAGTGGTAGATTGTAATCCAATTTCAGTCTATTTATTAGATATGTGACACAGTGAAAGGGTATTATTCACTGGATAACGTTTCGAACATGATTTACTGCCCATAATGACATCGAGTAACTCCACAACCTTGAGACATGGATTATATAGTTCCAATTGTCTCTTAGTCTTCATCAAGTGTGTAGTAGAACTTTGCATGCATCTGTGACTTTATCATTTATTCGGTGTTAATTTGATCAACCAAGTTTCGTTCATTTGTATATAACTCATTGTTACATAAAGATTATTCGATCCTGAGTAAACAAACAAACACACTTTCATATCATGAAGAGCTTAATATAGATGAATCACGATCGTTATATTTTGCTTCTGCATACAGTGATTGTTGTGTTCATATTGATTTGCTTGCACAACTGACACTCGACTGATAACCATTCCACCTGATCAAAACGTACATCCACTTGATTTTATCTTCACTAACCGATGACACTACCTGATTGAATATTGAAATAATTTGAACATATGCCTGACATTGGCCATTGTGTTTCCCTTATTGTCATGTAGTGGGTTATGAGAAAGTTATTGAAGGCAGTTGTTCACTCAAATTATTCTTGTTCTGTTTATAGGTTTATGAAAAATCCTCTTATCACCTCATGAAATGCCTTTACAACGTGCCATACCATGTTTCATTTAATCCTTCAGAACTTTATTGTTAGTATTTGAGCTGTTAAATTCTCTGAAGTAATACATCATGGAATAAGATAAAAAATGGGTTTCTTTCACCAGAGTCAATGGAATGACTGATAGCGATATGAATACAAGGCGTAAATGGACTCTACACTAGTAAAGTAACATTAGTCTGAGCAACGGAGAATAACGTTATATTCAATAGTTTAGTCAAAGTATCTCCCCGTTTGTATTTGGATAACAAAGCTGATAAGTGATTGGCATTTGATTCATAAATCATTATTGTTTCAGTCTCACTTTTGTATTCTTATACCAGTCAAGACAATCTTTTAACACTTTGATAATAATAATAATAATAATAATAATCGCTTTATCCCCAAAAAGATGTATGGTACAGTATGCATATGAACGATAGTAATAGTAACAATATTCCAAGACAATACTGGGGAACAGCCAGCTAGTTTTGGATTAGTGTCTGACCCATTATGAAGAATCAGCAGAAATATGAGCTTAAGTTTGATGGTGGTAGTGGCGGTGACGGTGGCGGTGACTCATCCAGTCGGTACAAGGATCTACTACTCAAGCTAAGTATCCATGTTCAGTATCAAGACCCTTAATTAAGTGAACACTTCATGTAACAAAGATTATATTTAAGAATAAACATATAGATTTTCATTGTCGAATAAAAAATTTGAATATATATATATATATCAGGAAAGTGTGCATCAAGGACTGATATGGGTTTGAGGGTCATTGAAAACCTGAAGGACCTGGCCAATTGCTTCATCGTGATATACATCTGCTTAACACTACACACTCAAAATACCAGGATACATTCAACACACGATCGTTAACTTTGTTAGCAAGCGAGTTACCACTAGACGTAAGTTCAGTGGTATATATTTTTTCCTCTTTCTGTCAATTTACGATCGAGAGCAACCACTAACTAGTGTCTTGAGGTTGATAATGATCATAAACTGATATCAGTTGGAATAACAATGGAAACCTGAGAGGTGACAGTGGCAGGAAATATGCATCACCGGATTCCGATCCAGGAGCTCAAGGGTAACGGATTGGCAATAGAACTTGGAAGTTCTGAGTTCTATCCCCGAAGAGCGCGATCATGTTTACTTAATGCTGAAGGGCCCCATACTAGGGCGAAACAGCTGTCCAGGGCTCCCAGGTCTCAGTTGTTTCTCTAAATGGTGTCAGTCCATGATGAATACCAACGTAAACTTATGTTTATTCAGAACAAGAATAATTTCAGCTGCCAATTGTTTTCAATAACTTCTTCAGGCTCTACAGTTATAAATCCATCAGAATAAGTGAAATACAATAGCCAGAATACGGCATAATATACAATTATTATTTATGTTGTAACAGTCAGTGTTATGAGTGATGTGAGATCAAATCGAATGGTATGATGGTTATCAGTTTAGTGTGTTAGTTGTTCAATGAAATCAGTATTAACTTAACAATTATGAAATGAGGAGACAATCTATAGATGATGATTCATTCATGTACATTTAGTGAGGCATGAATGTGTGTGTATTTGTTAAGGGTTAAATAATAATGACGTAGTGATGAGTTATATTCAGGTGGGATAATATGAATACCATAGCGAAATAGATAACAATCAATGTGGAGTGTTACGTCACTATTGAAAATGTCTACTGCTAATGGTATGAGTAAAGAATGGCATAAAACTAATAACATAAGAAATTGAAAGTGATGAAATGTAGAAGAAAGGGATGGGAGGTGAAAATGTGTAATTTGTGGTGGGAAACTTCATAAAGAACGTGTCAACTCTGTTGTCAGCCAAGGTAAACAAAGTGGATGTACATATTTCCTTTGAACAAATAGGTCCAGTGTTCTTGAGTTGATCTCTATGACTTCAGCTACGGATAAGATGTGAAGTCGTGCAACATTAAGGAGATTGCAAGAGATACGATATATCACTCATTCTCATGGATTTCTAACTGTAGAACCTGAATAAGAAGAAGTTATTGATAACAATTGTTCGTTGAAATTATTCTTGTTCTGAATAATTCATGAGGATGTTTTTACTGGAAAACGCTATTGTGTTGTCCATATAGTTAGTTAATCCATCTTCGGTGCTTAAAGAACCCAATAATAATAATTTCTATAAGAACAGACAATACGTGGTCAACTAGTTCACTAGTTACTAGCTGGTCCTAAGCCCGGATAAAGAGGTAAGTTTGGCCATAGGGCTAACAACCCTACACCGTAAAACCAATCTAACCGCTAAAGAAACTTCAAAGCACAAAGAAATTATCGAAAGTACAAACAAACTTATTCCTTGCTGGAATTGCAGAGACGAAATCATACCGGTTGGTGAAAGCCTTCTGGAAGCCGATTGGCCAATGTGTCTTCTGTCGATGAAGAAAGTGCGTTTTTATTGAATTGGGCATACACTAAGAAAACCGATTGGGGACATTATGCACTAGGCTAGGCTCTCGAGTTGGGTATCCGAGGTGAAGATGACATGGAGGAGATCATGTAAGGAAGAAATGAAAGCTTGTGGGCAGGGGTGGCGACAGATTGAAAAGACTGTAGAGAGGAGAGTGTAATAGCTATGTGCTGCTGAATTCGTATGTTCCACTAGGAACCCAAAGGAAAAATAAATAATCATAACAAATAATACGTGCTTCATTCAACAAATGAGTATGATAGTAGACGCTACATTTTATTACTTACAGATATCTTCTTCATCTTCATAGGTCAAGTAGTATGCAGATGAAGATAGATTAGATTCTGTTATATCGAATTGTTTTAGTTCATCAAGATTATGGCAAACAACAATATAGCTACATGTTGAACAATACAAGTATATTGTTGAATTAGTTGATTCTGTTGAATCATTGAATACATAATTTTTCTCAAAATTTCTTAGATAATTTTCATCAAAATTTGTATTATCTAATAAATTATCTTTCAATGATGATAAAATACTTGATAGTGTACTACAGTTAACTGACATACTGTCATCATCAATACTTTCCAACTTCATGTTATTCATTTTAAATTGTTCAGTTAAAATTGAACTATTATTATCAAGCCTATCAGTTGTTAGTGTCATTTGTGTACTTGTACATTTCATTTCACTTTTTTTCATATTATTATTCCATTTTCTTATTACAGGTAAGATATATACATCGAATTGTTCTTTCCAAAGGTTTTTCAGTCGTTTAAATATACATCTAAAATAAAATGTTGGTAAAAACTTATTCATTAGATCATAGTAGTTATGCTCATATCAAAAATGTTCAGTCGATATTATTTGAAGAAAGCGTAACAATTTTTGAATAAACACTTAAGAGTGTTCTATTTACATAAGTTGTATGAATATCTATGATTTGACAGGAAGCCTTCATTGCAGACATATATTTGTTTTGTTCTTTAATACTTATATTCTGCTGTTACTCTACAGTATCGAACTACTCGATCTTTGTGATGAAGGAGAATATTTAAAGCTCAGGAAGATGATTTTTTTGATGATGTTGTGTTCTCTGAGTGGAATGGTTTAACCATGAGACTTTCATTGTCATTTAAGACAACATTATGAGCATAAACTTGTTTTTGAAGTTGGATATGAAGACAGATACTCAGTGATGTCATTGAGTAAAGGTACTGCCTAATCACGAAATCACAGAAACAGGAAATAAAGCAGAGTACAAGAATCAAGCAACACTTGATACTCGCTGGACAACAGGTCACTCTGACGCCCCATTGACCTAGTGGATAACGCTTTGGTGTTCTAAATGGTGGGGATTGGGTTTGAGCCCCAGTGTAGAGAGAATCATTCACTGAGTTGCAGGTATATCCAGCTGAAAAGTCACAAATACCCTGTCATTTCTACGACCACATGAAGGGTATGTTATTATCTACTCATAACTTCATTTACAATAGAGGACTACCTCTACCAGTGGTATGTTTTGTGATGGATTTCCCGAAGTTCTAATGAGAAGTGGTGGCTCGCGCGCTCTAGTAAATCAGATGTGAGGACAAAGACAAGCGGATCGAATGAAGTGACATTCGCACTATACCGCAAATTGGCAGATGTAGGAAAATGGTGACCATTGAACTCCTACACAGTGACTGACTGGCTACGTATTCGCCATCATAATTAACGGTTGTTCGTTGAATGGATGGTGGTGTTGTGGATGTTAGTTGGTGACGGATGCCATTAAGACTCGAAACAGCTATCGAATGCCTCCAGGTTTTCAACAGTTCTCCAACTGATGTCAGTCTATGATGAATACTTCCTTGAAGCTACTCAATGCTTACAAACCTGTAAAATTTGTTCCTGAACTATCCAAGATATGTTTCAACAAATGGGCTCCTTTTACGATATTTTAAAGCTAATGAATTTCGGCACCTAACTGATGTTAATAGTAACAGTATTATGAAGAATAAAATATTGTCAATAATCTCCTTCCGATTGTCATCTAGTCTGGAGATGCAATGATGTAGGTGTAAAGGGAGGACGCACAGCACAGTACACGTCAGTTTTGTGATGGAGGTTCATTTGACCAGCGTAAAAATCTTTATTTGGAGCAAAAAATCCCAAATATAACTACATGATGCATTGTTGTGCAGTTATGAGTCCACTGACATCTATGATAGTCCTTTCTCCAGCTTTTATTGTTCAATAACAAAGCGGTTTCTTTAAAACGCTAAAAATGCTATTTGAAGACGAATTCTAGGAAAGTTAAAAATGAGTAGTTTGATGTCATACGTTAGGCGTAGAGTTTTTAGTAGCCAAAAATTTAGACAGGCCACTCCATATGTACACCCTAATTCGTAAAGTAATAAATTATCGCTTTTCACACTAACTCATTTTCACTACGCTATTTAAATACGAACAAAATGTTATTGTGCTTCATAATTTTGCTGGTCGACAGATCATGAGCAGAACGCACGGTATCACTCCAGTACCAGATAAGTGACCCTAAGGGCCACTCTCACGGCTGCTGGGATAACCAATTACGTAAGCTTCTCTGACGAAGAGCTACCGACTAAGCCGAAACACAAAAATCTGATTAGTTATTTCAGCAGTTGATAGAGTGACTTTTAGAGACATTCGCAACAAATTACATATCCTAGATATCAGGCCTCTAACTACAACTTTTCTGTTGGATCTAGTTAGGTTTCATAGAGGTCAAGATACGCAAATCTTTCTATTTAGAACCCGTCAGCTGGATGCACCAGCACCTCAGTGAGTGAAGCCGTTCACAGTACGCGTCACTTCAAACGCTAAACCTTTATCCACTAACCCACTGGAATGTGGCAGCCACCTCTTATGCAACAGGTATCAATTGTTGCTTGATACTTCTAGCCTTTCACTGCTACAACCATATATTTTGCGGCATCAGGGGCTCACTGGATAACGCTCACGTTTAAAGCAATGAGCAGTGGGTTCCAGGCTTGTTGAGAGCAACATAACTCATTGAAGTGCAGGTACATCTAGTTGACGGGTCCGAAGTAGAACGATAGGCACTTCCTGGATTTCACTGCTAGCCACCAAGCAGAATGCAATACAATCGGTAATCCAGCAATATCTTGGCATCCATATAACAGTCTGCCTGCCAGCACAGGTCGAGCAATTCGACCCAGAACCGAGAAGAGAGACAAAAGGTATTAAACAGAAAAGAACATTGTTAGGATGTGGGTTTGTGTGTGCACAGTTTAAGAAGAAAAACTATACTTCTTGTTGCTCACTAAGAGGAAATCTTTATGACTGTATAATACTTACACAGTTTTTTCACTTACTCGTTTCTATGCATTTCATATCGTTGAAAAAAACAGTTTTTCACATTATCTAGGAAAGTAGAAATATCAAATTGGATAAGTCAAAGAGTTTCCTTAATGAGTATGGTTGACATTTGAAATAAATACACATAAAGCTATAAATGAATTAATTCTCCAGGAATTTAATTTTCCTTGACAGCAAACAACGTCAGTCTAGATTATTCAAAGGTGTGGTAAAGACAATCACCAGTGCCATAGTTGTACAGTTCGTTTGAACTAATCATAGGGTGGATATGAATCAAACATCTCCCATACACTACCACATTCACATCAAATCAACAATACCCAACACCCAATACCCAACTCCGAATACTCCAAACTGTACAAACAGTAATATTCAGCATCAAACAAGTTGAGTTATTTGTTGAAACAGCAACAAGTATTGTCTCCGAAATGACCATTGCCTGATTACACACACACACACACACAAATAACTTGACTTCCTACCACAAATAATCGAATTCTATACATACTGTGTATATCCCTTCATCTCCATCATCGAAAATTATTTCAACACATTCTATCAACATATTACCTCCCCTCAACAAGAGTGGCATTCTATCAAGCTATTATTCCTCAAATTATCCTTCTTAGTTCATTCCATCCAATTCCCATAAACACGTTCTCATTGTTTTACTAAATATCAGCTTTGAGCAGCATTGTCTACAGTGTATGGTCGTTTGGCTAGTGAATAACACTGAATTGAACTCCTTCAGCGATAGGTTCTTGGTTGGTTCGTCATTAGACAGAGTTCCTTGTTGCTTATTCTTATTGTTCTGGTCATCTGAGCTTCAGTTACGAGGCAGAGTAGGCAGTTGTTGATAAATGTCTGTAGTTTGTTGGAAATGCTTTTCGTGACGCACCAAGTCTCTCAACCATCACATAGAAGCACTGACTTGACTGATATTGGTGTTGAAAATCCGGATCTTGTTCGTAGTTCCTACGATATATTTTGAGCATTGATTCGATGAATAAAGATTCAGTATAAAATCTCTCTCTCCACCTGCCCTTTTGATTGGTTTCGTGTTAATGCATGCAATTTCAGTAGCCAAGGTTTTCTCTAGATTATTGATCCCACTGGTGTCTTTCATTCTATATCTGACTAAATTCCTGTGTAGTGTTTTTTCATGTTATTACCTCCTTGAATGGACCGAATTGATCGGTCTCTACTGGCATATGGGCTCTTGGACGTATGCCTTGATATTCCCTCTGTTTCAGCTTTATATTAACGGTGGACAGTGGCTTGTGGCAGAATCCAGGACGTGTGAGTCCCAAATAGAATGAAACGCACGTTCTGAATTCTACTGATAACTTCCATCCACCATTAATATAAATTCCTATGTTCCGATAATCTAACTGGCTGCGATCGGCTAGTTTGATCTATGTACTTGACCTCATAGTCACTACATGGAATTTGGCACATTAGATTGTTTTGCTTCATTCAACCTACCGCATCTAATATGAAATATGCAGTCCAGAATAAAAAACGATAAGGATCGTGCCCCTTTAAATAATTAAATCACTGGTAGTATAAAGGATAATACGACCAGTCGAAAGTGAAGGGGTTGCCAAATAAAGACTTTGGTTAGCAGTCGCTCAATATCGCTAATTAATAGAAGTGAAAAACTGTAGACCATAGACCTCTAATCCAGTGCGTCAATTTCTAACGCGTTCACCGTGACTCTTGAAGATCCTGAGTTTGATCACCGGATAGGCCTTTGGTGAGTACTGCTGAGGCGTTCCGAGTTTCTCAATGGTTCTCCTAATGATATCAGTCAATGAAGAACACCATTTTAGTTAATGCAAATTTCCAGAATGCCACAATAATGTAAACATGGTGTTCAGACAGACAGACAGACAAATTTTGCCAAAGCTTGGAAAAGGACGACGAAGTTGTGTGATACTGTAGGATCATGACAGTGAATAAATAAAGTTTGAATGTGAATGTAATGGTGGTCCGAAATGGGTGACAAAAATAAAATCAGAAGGGGAAGAAGAACATAATGAAATTCGTATGTAAGGTCATTCATAAAGTCTTTCTTGGCTAAAGCAGGGCTAAAGACTAAAGATATCTTCTGAATACACTGCTTAAGATTGTTCGGTTGAATTCTCATAGCCTCAGATATTTGTAAGAGACGACTTGCAACCTTATCAGGAAGGTTGAGTGTGGTACGGTAAATGCTTTGGCCTTATCCTCTCTGTGACTATCATCAATTAAATATGACAAAACAGAGCTTCATTTGAAGATTTATCCTCTCCTATTCCCAGCGAAGATGGTAAGTGTTTGGTAATACATTGGTTAAGTTGCCTAGTGGTATATCTGATAAAACTGTCTACATATGAGCAATTAACTAGACAAATACACATGTAAGTGAGGAATTTTATTAACTTGTGTTCCTTCTGACTCGAAAGAAATCGTCAACTAGAAGATGACCAACAGAGGTTAGCTGCATAAAACATTCCTTTAATGGTCCTCGATAGTCTATGTAATAATATCTCGCTATATGAATAAGGGTTTCTGTCAATTAGTTACTACTTCGAGTCTTCTGACAGATTTATACATATCCTTTCTCATAAAATTGCGACAATAACCTATTTCACTTAATGGATTTGAAATAACTCTAACTTGCTCTGCAGGATATCATCTGGACAGAATCTTTTCTTCCTCTGGCTGTCAAAAATTTCACTTAGTTTCTTTTGTGCCAGATAGGCAGGAAACTTAAGAAGTGGGTATATTCACATACAGATTTGTTTCTTGTGTACGTGCTTCTGCTTCTGATTCACCTATTCGACTACTGAATAGAAAATCAAGGACGTTTAGCTAGTTGTTATATCCTTCTCTATTAGTGAAAGCAACTGAACAGTATATTAGTGTTACTGCTTGTATTACACCGTTGTTGATTGGACTGAATTGATCAGTCTCTGTCGCACTATGGGATCTTGTGCGGACACCTCGATATTGCCTGTCTTCTAACTACGTATAGTAATGATGGGAAATGGCTACCAGTGGAATCCAGGATGCACATTTCGTCCTATTTCGGACTCGTCAGTCGGATGTACCTTCTGATTCCCAGTGAGTGATGTTGTTCCCACCACAACTCGGACTCCAGAGCGATAGCTTCAAGTGTCAGAGTGTCATCCACTATACCACCGAGCCACGATAGTCACTTCTTGTGCTACGGGTATGGGTTTAGTGTTATTGCTTGTATTACACTGTCGTTGATTACACCGAACCCCTCAATCGTGATTATAAACGTATCACCTATGTATCTGTGACACATATCTAGCTTGTTGGTGACGTCATTCAATATGTGTTGGCACTTATACAATCAGTTACATAGCATCTTCATAGATTATATATATAGCGTCCTGAGTTGAGTTCCATTAGATAGCCAGAGGTGAAAGTTAATAAATTTCTGATCCTATACAGTGCGGATACAATAACACTAGGTTGTCTTGCCTCTTCTACTCAAGGACAATTTTTCAAGCCACTTTTAGGGAAGTTGAAGCATGAAAAGCATTCTGGTGAAGTATGACAACTACTGTCTAGATGAGATGAGTTAAAAAGCAACAAAGTTAATGTTGTCTGAGCATATTTATACTTAAGCAGTATGGTTATTTACTTTCAACTGTGAGATAATAGTGATGATTGGGAGTCATAACAGAAAGAACCGTACAAACATTTTATTATTCATGTTAGTTGGCTGGAGGTGATCGGCAGGAAACCCAGGACCTAGGATAATCTGCAACTTCTACGTAACTGATGTCCAGCCTGAGATTCTAACCCACGTCACCTAGTGCTGTCGTCAGCGGCTTTTCAACTGAGCTATTCGGGCCGCGATTGACATCCTGTAGGACTAGATTACCTGTATTGATTGGTCATGCAAGTGCAACCAATTTCGTGTTGTCTGGTCGTGAGTGTAGACCGAATCCTATCGATCATATTTCCAAAGTGGCCACCAAACTAGGAGGCTCAGCATCGTGGTGCGCATGGGCAGATATCACTTGGTTGGAAGCAGCCGACAGGAAGATCCGGACTTAGGTTGCATGCTTGTTGGCACTCGTCAGCAAGGTGTATCTGCAACCTGTACGGAACTGATGTTCCACCAACTAATATCTACTAATGTGCACCACGATGCTGAGCCTCCTAGTTTTGTGGTCGCATTGCCAGTAGGATCAATTGGATTTGGTCTGCACTCAGAACTAGACAACATGAAATTAGTTGCACTACCATGACAAATCAATACATTTTATTGTTCAAACAGTTATTTGTGATTTCAATGAGTTTAGAAGTTTTAACGAAAGTATGTCGTTTGCAAATTTCAAAAAGGAGGTAAATAAATTACGGCTGTGTCATAATTAACTTAGTGTTGACTAGGTGTTCAGTTTAAAAAGCACGTTTCCCTCAATTTGGGAACTATCAGTTGAATGTATGTACATTCTGGTGAGTGATGATGTTGCAAATGGAAATCAGAGTGAGCATACATCGTTGTAAATAGAAACACATTATCCACTGTGTATAGTAATGATGGTAAGTGGCTAGCATTGGAATGCAGGATGTGCATTTCATCCTGTTTGGGACTCGTCAGTTGGATGTACCTTCTGACTCCCAGTGAGTGATGTTGTTCCCACCACAACTGGGACTTGGGTGCGATAGCTTCAAGTGTGAGAGTGTTATCTACTACACGACTGAGCCACGACAGCCACTTCTTATGCTACGGGTATGGGTTTAGTGTTATTGCTTATATTACACCATCGATGATCGAACTGAATCGATTATTTTCTGTTGGCATATAGGCTTCTGTGCGGATGGCTTGATATAACATTATCCACTATGTTACTGAGTCAGGAGAGTCATCTATTGCTCAATGGATCTGATTCTTTATTTATGGGTGATTATAATTTTCAGCTGAACTTATTGATTAATCTCTTGTGCTATATATAGTATAACAGCAGTCTGTTACATCATGCTTATCTCCTTAAAGATTGATCAAGTTTCAGCCTCCACAATCAGTAGTGCACTGACAAATTCTATCTGTTTTTCTTATGGTGACAATCTTAAAGTTTATGTTTTTAGTATTCTAGAAATTCAAAGAAGTCATATGGAACTTAGAGGTTAAAATCTTTATCTGGAATCAACATTCAGCGAATTAGAAATGAAAAACATTTTACTTACTGACCATAGTTGAATATCTTTGATTAGGTAACATTTTCAATGTTGAAGTGAAACAATTTATATGTCTATTATGTTTCATTAGGCAATTATCTGAAAAATAAGATTATATATAATGAAAAATGTAAGACGTTAACAACTAGTTAATGATGAGAACTTTTTTCCTGTTTTAGTTAACTCCACTTTATTGCATAATTTCACTTCATTCAATCTATCTGTAAGTTTATTTCTATAGTATAGTAAATATTCATACTTAACTGACTTTTATTATCTTGATCGTTAAATGGCTGTCCTTGGGTGTTGGTTTTCCCCGACTTGTTTTGTACACTTTTTCTAAAACAATAACAATATAATATAATATACCTTACCTTTTAATCAATTTTTTAGATTTCTGTAGATTAACTGAAGTTGAATCGAAATCCCTTAAGTGATTTGTCTAGAAAAAAAGTTATAGAAATGAGATGAAGAGATAATTATACACAAAATGGTAATAAGAAAGACTCAAAATAGAGCATCTCTACTCTATTTTATAAGGACGTTTTTTAAGAAATCTATCTATAAAAGTTAGTAAGGTCTTTACCAGAGTAGTTGCTATACATCTGATAAAAACAGGCAATCAAATAGATATTTTTCAATCCTTCAAAATAATCAATTAACAATGAATACTATGTTTATAACGGGGTTTGTGAAAGTTCTCACTATCAAACATTTCCAACCTGACTTATATTCTCAGAAAAGGATCGTAACTAACCTTTCTTTACCATGTTTTGCCAAATTACCGTTATTCTACTATAGTTTGAAGGTTTATGAGAGATTTATTGATTTCTAGCCGGTATTCATCACGAAGTGACACTAGTAGAAGAACAGTTGCAGTTCTGAAATCACTGAATAGCTGTTTCATTACATTATGGCAATCCTCATCAGTGCATGCTGACGAACTCGAACCTAGAACACTCAGATTTCTCTCTAAGCATGTCAACATTGACACACGAGTTCGAAATCCAAATGATTCATATTTTCTTAATACCGTTAATTCACGATACAGATCAACTATCATCCATTGTGGAGTATTGTTCTCTCATCCAACTTACTTTCAATAGTTCCCCACCTGATATCAGTCTGTGATGAGTACCAACTAGAGATTATTCTACCACGTTTGAGTGCTTAAAACTAACAGTATTTTCACATTTTTATATTTTATCGCATAAATTATCCTCAATCACAACAACCTTGAAATCTCTTTTATCAGTTTACAGGATTTTATTCAAGATATATACATGAAAGTGACGAAAATCAAGAGGTCAAATTGAAAACAAATCAGCAGGCTTTCAACAGTCGCACGCAAGTTTATTACAGTAGCCATAACTCAATAATCTGGGAACTCGACTTGTAACCAGCGTCTCATGGGTTCGAAAGTCAGTTCGCCTACTGAGGTTTATGCCGCCAGATAGCTAAAAGCTAAAATTTATCTAAATTCACAATTATGCACTGGTTCTTTGTCAGTTATAGTCTCTGTCGGTAACTTTTTGGTGTAACTCCTCAGAGTACGATTAAACACACTAATTCATGTAATTAGTAGGATAGAAAGACAATCCCATACGTCGAATGAGAAAAGCAAACACCTTTAAAGTCATAGTATTGACATAACGATGTTTATCTTTTTGCTAGAAACGAACACATTCTGACAAAAAGCCATTTGAGTGAAAAAAAATGTTCTTCTTGATAACTTCTTACGTGAATATATTAAGGAATTGTGCGTCAAGACTATTCAGTAATGATAATAACATTATACAGTTGAGGAAGTCAATACAGAATACGCCTGTGTGAACGCTATTCATAGGACCAACTGGTCATGGAATGTAATTCAAATTAGTTAGCTATCTAAACGATCACACGGCTGATGTAGTCTACTATAAGGAGACAGTTTGATAAGACAACAGACCTAGAGCTTGTTGACGACCAGCTTCGAGAGGTGATTTCTGAAGTTCCAATAAGAAGTCGTGACCAGTGCAGCGAACCGGGAGAAATGAAGTGACAGAATTTGTAAGTATGGACCACAGGATTTCGATTCAGTGGCTCAATAGTAATGTACCGGCCATGAAACCTGAAGGTCCTGAGTTTGATCCCTGGCGGGCGAGGCCATGGATGCGCACTGGTGAGCAGTCCCACACTAGGACGAAACAGAGGTCAGGTGATTTCAGGTTTACAATGTTCCTCCAAATGATGTCAATCCATGATGAAAACCAACTTGAACAATAAGAAAATGTTTATGAGAGTTGGATGAAATAATGACAGAAAGATAATTTGAGGAATAATAGCATGGTGGAGCGTTACTCATGTTTGGGTGACAAAATAGATTGAGAGAATATGTTAAAATTATTTCAGACTATATGTATGAGGAGGCGTCTACAGTATGGAATTAGAAAGTTAAACTACTTTGGTCAGGATGTGGAGAAAATTGTGAGTCATGAATTGGCCGACAGTAGTTGTAACAGCAACAATTGCTATTTCTAGACCCGTAACTCCGGTTTCTTATCCTAATTGCAACTTTTGCAGTCTGAAGGGTTAGGAGCCGGACACTCAAATATGTGAGTAGAAGCGATGTACTTAGCGAAATATTTATTCACAAACTATAGAGATCATTTCGGAGAAATTTTAATGCTGATAACTTACAAATTCCTTTTCCAACCTACCTGTTGGTAACGTCGAGAATGAGAGATAAATTGCCTTGACCGGCTAATTCCTGTTGTGTTTATCAGTTTGACTGTTCCTGAGGTGCCAGTAATATCAGATACTGCATTAGGAGGGTAATTTTCTGTCCCCAAAAACGCGAACAGTCTAGATTATTCAAAGGTGTGGTAAAGACAATCACCAGTGCCATAGTTGTACAGTTCGTTTGAACGAATCATAGGGTGGATATGAATCAAACATCTCGCATACACTACCACATTCACATCAAATCAACAATACCCAACACCCAATACCCAACTCCGAATACTCCAAACTGTACAAACAGTAATATTCAGCATCAAACAAGTCGAGTTATTTGTTGAAACAGCAACAAGTATTGTCTCCGAAATGACCATTGCCTGATTACACACACACACACACACATACACACACAAATAACTTGCCTTCCTACCACAAATAATCGAATTCTATACATATTGTGCATATCCCTTCATCTCCATCATCGAAAATTATTTCAACACATTCTATCAACATATTACCTCCCCTCAACAAGAGTGGCATTCTATCAAGCTATTATTCCTCAAATTATCCTTCTTAGTTCATTCCATCCAATTCCCATAAAACACGTTCTCATTGTTTTACTAAATATCAGCTTTGAGCAGCATTGTCTACAGTGTATGGTCGTTGGCTAGTGAATAACACTGAACTGAACTCCTTCACACCAGCGTTCACACAGGAGTATTCTGACTTGACTTCCTCAACTGTATAATGTTTATTGACAAGCTGACAAGGCGGATCTGAATATTTATGACACGTAATTCCTCAGTATGTGCATATCAGTGAAGGATATGACGAAGAAATAATTGAAAAGAATACTTTTTGTTCACTCAAATCGCTTTTGTGATTTGTGTTCACAATGAGTAGCTTGTTTCTCTACATTCATGGTTTATTTCTACACATCATCATCACAGAGAATAGAGGAGGAAGTGTATACGCCTAATTCTTCTACAACTTACTATTACTGCTGATCAGTTTCATGTCGTCGATCTGCTGCAAAGTTCTATTCAAAGGTTTTCCTCTACGTCTTGTACACAGTAAAGTTAGTAGACCGACCATTGGACCAGTAATTGGAGTTTGGTGGTTGTGCATTTGATGTGACGTGTGTTTTCATTCCCCCAGCCCCCCCCCAGTCATTACACCACAGCAATGATGCCAGTCTTTCAGACCACTGGTGTAGAAACAGTCTAACAGTTTACTTGTACTGATGCATTTGTGTAGGGTGGTGTATATGGAGTTGTTATCAAGACTGATGACAACCAATGGTGTTTGCCACGGGTGCTGTCTGTCAAATTTAACTTGTAGTACCTTCAGTGTAAATAAATCATGGTGTAGAAAACAGAAACCTACTGTTTGTTCATTGTATTGTGTGTAGTAATGAGTTAATGAGGAAGAACGAAGGATCTTTATGAAAAATTGAAAAAGATGTGGATTTTGAATAAACAATTTGGATGAACAATTTCCTGAGTTTTGAACAATCTAAGAACAAAGACATTTTCGCAGAATAAAATAGTTTTATTTTATTTCATCAACCTTCATCAACTGAAAACAGCCTACAAATGAATTGGAATATTAGTAATAATAATGATGCTACGTACTTTAAATATGTAGAAATAAATGAAAATTTGGAATCCATGATCGACTTTAAGGAACTGAGTCAAAGAAAAACATGATTAATTATCACAAATCTTTAAAAAAATCAATGGCAGTTTATATCTGATTAGATGGGAAATCCTAAAGCTGTAGAAAGGGGGAAAACAAATAGATTGTAGTGTAAAAGAATGGATTGTTAAAGAGCTAGAAAGTTACTGGAAAAACCTCTGGTTGAGTGTTGAAACGTCAGTGAATCATTTACGAAAAGATGATACATTCGAGTAAAGGGAAAACTGTGTACCTACATATAGAAGAAATTATGTAGAGTTACCAAGGTAAAGATTAGATCATCTCTTCATTAATTGCTTACTGATTGTTAATCACTCAGCATAATGTTTTTCAAGCCTTCTTAGGCGGTTACGTAACCTAATTGTTCTGGAATTTTCCATCTCATCAGATATAAACTGCTATTGATTTTGTCTAAGAGTTGTGATTATTAATCCTGTGTTTCCTTGATTAATTACCTTAATGAGGTAGTATTCATCACGGGAACCGTTGAAAATCTGGGAGCACTGGATAACTGTTTCTCCCTAGTATGGGATTTCTTGTCAGTAAGCACCCACAACCTGTCCACTGATCGAACTCAAGACCTTCAGGTTTCACGTAATACTGTCAGTCCGTGATAAATACTATCTCAAAATTCCAATCCCCATTTTTCTCAAAAATACATCACTAATGTGTTATTATTTATTTCCACAAATATAAAGTATGTTATGTCATTATTACTACTGCTAATATTTCATTTCAGTTAAAGGCTGTTTGCAGCTGATGAAAGACAATGAAATGAAATAAGCTCATTTTGTTTTTGTATTGTTCAAATTTATCTAGCAAATTAAATATATATGGCAATTTTGTGACTACTTATAAAAACGATGTTTCACTGACTGATACATTTCGTGAAATAAGAGTGTTTCAAGCTTTACAGAGATTTACATGTTAACAATATACACTACTAGGTCAAGTACAACCCTTTGAAACCTTCATGGTACTTAGACTGACAAGAAAAACTTCAAAATACGTTGAATTTGATGAAATTCCAAGGTGATATTCCATTTAAACTAATGAATTTATAGATTAACAAAATGCTCTTCATTTCTATCGCGAATAACAGCTGGAAATTACAAGTTTTAATAAATACTACATGAAGCCATTTACACAGGAGGTGGCTATCATTCTCCGGTGGCCTACATAATAACGTTTTGACCTCAGGAGAGATGAGTATTGGATTCGAGTTTCACTGTGGTGCTGGCATGTCTAGCTGATGCGTTCCAAGTGAGCTGAAACGAACGTCCTAGTTTCTACTGCAAGCCAACGTCTAGCAAATTACAGCCTAATCAATAAACAGGCAATATCGAAGCATCTACGTAGAAGCTCAGAATAACAATAGGATAATAAAAGTACGGACAAATAATACTTATTATAATAATTCACTTGGTTGTGGCTAGCAGAAGAATCCAAGACTCGCGTTTCGTCCAATTTGAACCTCATCAACTAAAGTCCACATCAGAGCCCAAACACTAACATAGGTTGAACAATTCTATGCAGTATTACTAAGGAGGATGACAAGTATGTCATCAAACAGAAATTTAGGTGATGGATTGTTCAACTCCATTTAGCACAATTATGAACCATGTCGTTTGGCAGGTTTAGATAAAAGAGGTTTGAAATATAGCAGACTATAGCGTTTCTTGTACTATGCAATCAAAATCTCAGCAACAGAAGAGGCTGATAGCTTTATTTTGGATAGATGCTTTGAGTTTTAACTGACTAAGTGTCCTGTCACAAAGTTAAAGATGTGTTTCTTTTCTCACCCGGTCAGACAGGCTGGGCGCTAGCCTATAAATAATAATAATATTGCTTGCATTACACCGTTGTTGGTTGGACCGAATTGATCAGTCTCTGTTGGAATATTGGATCTTGTGGGGATGCCACGACATTGCCCATGTTTTCATTATGTAGAGTAATGATAGGAAGTGCCTAGCATTGGAATCAAGGATGTGCATTTCATTCTGTATGGGACTCGTCAGTTGTATGTACCTTCTGAATCCCAGTGAGTGATGTTGATCCCACCACATCTCGGACTCGGAAGCGATAGCTTCAAGTGTGAGAGCGTTATCCACTACACGACCGAGCCACGATAGCCACTTCTTGTGCTACGGGTATGGGTCTAGTGTTTCTGCTTGTCCTAAATGTGACGGAACGCACATCCTGAATTCCACTGCTACTCACTACCCATCATTACTATACATAATTAAAACACAGGCAATATCGAGACATCCGCACACGAGCCTACATGCTGACAGCAACTGACGAATTCAGTCCAGTCAACGATGGTGTAATACGAGCAACAACACTGGAACCATAGCCGAATCACATGAAGTGCCTATCGTGGCTCGCTAGTGTAGTAAGCTACATGAGCCCATCCTGCAGACGATATGATACTGATGACTGGATGGTGTAAGCAGCATGACAGAATGTTTTGTAGTGTGGAACACGTCTTGGCACTATACATTCATTCAATTGTAACATAACTATCATCATTATTTGTCCCTCGGGTTCCTAGTGCAACATAAAGCTTCAGGAGCACGTCACCATCACACTCTCTTCTCTGCCAAAATTTGCAACATAACTCCACGACTACCCACAACCTCTCATTTCTTCCTCACACCATATCCTCCATGTCACCCTCGCCTCCAACACACAACTTGTCGTTTCCCATCTGGGTTACACTCGAGCGACTGGCACGTGATGTCCCCAATCGGCACTCTCAGTGTATGTCCAATCCAGTCCATCTCCACTTCCTTCCGGTGAATATTTGTTGAGCGATAGCTTCTTACTTCGTTGGTTCGTTGCCAGCCAGCCAGCCAGCCAGCCAGCCAGCCAGCCAGCCAGCCAGCCAGCCAGCCAGCCAGCCAGCCAGCCAGCCAGCCAGCCAGCCAGCCAGCCAGCCAGCCAGCCAGCCAGCCAGCCAGCCAGCCAGCCAGCCAGCCAGCCAGCCAGCCAGCCAGCCAGCCAGCCAGCCAGCCAGCCAGCCAGCCAGCCAGCCAGCCAGCCAGCCAGCCAGCCAGCCAGCCAGCCAGCCAGCCAGCCAGCCAGCCAGTCAGCCAGCTAACCAACCAGCCAGAGTTCCTTGTTCCTCATTCTTATTATTCTGGCCATCTGAGCTTCAGTAACGAGCCAACGTAAGCAGCAGTCGTGTTGATGAACGCTTGTGGTTTGTTGGAAATGCTTTTCATGACACACCAACTCTCTCAACCACCAAATAGAAGCACTGGCTTACTTGACTGATATTGGTGTTGAAAATCCGGATACTGTTCATGCTTTATGTTGGGTGGAGTGCAGAAGATCTCCACACTGGTTTGGGCTAATGAATGCCTGTCTTCCTGTCTTTCCAATGCTGGCTGCTTTGACAACCTCGTCTGTGCCTGTGTCACGTGTAGTTGAAACGATGCTGCATTGCCTAGACAGGTGAAACAGGCTACTTCACCTAAGTTCCTCCCATTGATGGTGATTGCAGCTTCTTGTTGTTGTTGGTGTTGTTGTTGTTGGTTGGGAATCTTCATCACCTCTGTCTTCTCTACATTCACCTCAACGAAGTCCCATCTTCGCTGCCCTACCCTGCACTACTTCTTCTGTCAACTTGTTATTTTTCACCTGTAGATCTTCGAGTTTATGCTACAAGACATTAGACACTAGTTATCGTCGAGATTCAAATCTTCTAGGATCTTTTCCCTGGTCCGGTGTATCTCCCTCTTATCGAATGAAGTGGATACTCAGTGTCAATTAAAATTACTGTAGCTAGCCGGTTGCTTGCTAGAATTTAAATGTCTATCAAATATAGTGTTAATCAGTTGGGTCAAAGGCATCGCACTCACCCCAGTGACAGCTTTCACAGCCTTATACAATATAATATAGCCCCTTTTTAGAAGAGCAGAAGAGATCACCGAGGAACAGTCGAGAAGAATAGATAAAATGCAGGAGTTAATAAATTGTAAAAGTAGAGGTTGATCTATACGAGAGAGTCTCAGTTTCTTTGTGTAATTCATTGAACGAAGGAGTTTCCTCGAAGTCATCAAGATTGAGACGACTAAGAAAGATCAGAAGTAAAAATCAACCCAGCATTGTTAACACTCTATCTACTTTGTGTAGAAATATACATCAACTCAACAGGCGTCATGAGACTTAAACAGTTTGCACAATTCTTGTTTACGCTTGAGGCTGAAATTAATAGTCTGACATTTAGAAACGTTTTACTTGAGACCATTCAAGAGAGACGATTGGTCAATAAGACACAAGAATCCATTTAATTCGGAGCAATCTAAGTAAGAGTTGATGTAAGTAAACGTAAACTGATGATAGTTTCAGCTTTTTCTACTAAATATCGCTCATCCAAGAAGTAGTTCAAAGTTATAGGTCATTGTCACCATCCATAAGAAGAAAAATCGTCGAGGAATAAAACGACGAAAAAAATATATCAAGAAACCATCATGAAGATGAAAATTACTCTTAGGTATTCATACACTAATATATTACTCTTGACAATACTAACTAACCTTTGGATTCAACCAGTTATGTAATACAAGTTTAGTTGATGTCGTTTGTAAATCATACTTCCTTGCAATAAACTGATGTTTTAAAAAATATTTCCTTCTATCATCCATCAAGATTTTGTTTATATATCATGTTGAAGATAAAATAAGGCGAATAAGCCTGAAATATCAATCACTTGGCTAGTAAAATTCCTCTTATGCTAAATATTATGCATACGGCTTAATTTATATTCGAATAAGTAAACATTAAAGTACAAATTAGTATGAACAGAACCAAGTTAATAACCATTTTGTCAGATGTCACATTGACATCAATCAGCTGTTATCATTTATAACAACGAATACTAGTGATTTTGATAGCGATATCGATAACTTAAGATGAATAAACCCTATCTTCAGCTTTTACTTGTTCATAAATACTAGATCTAGATAGAAACAATAGTTAAATATCAGATAACGGGTAAAAACCTTCTATCCTCAAGACAAATCATCTTTGAATAATAGGAGAAATTTACTGTTTCCAAACAAATTTTTATCTTGCCTAGGTCAGTTTGTACTTTTGTTCATCATGGTGACAAGCAATGAATCCAAGACGCGCAGTTTTTCTTGCTTGGGACTCATCAGCCACATGTACATGCACTCCAGTGAGTGATGTTGTTCCCACCAAGACTTGAACCTGGAACCCAAGGCTTCAAACTCCAAAGCTTCATCTATTGGGATGGGTGACAGCCACCATTTGCGCAAATGGTGGAGTACGACGGGCAACTCTGTTGCCCCACTCGCCTAATGGACAACGCTTTGAGGTGTGAAGCCGTGGGTACTGTGTTAGAGTCCCAGCTGGGATAGCATCACTGACTGAGACGCAGGTATATACGGCTGACGAGTATCAAATAGTACACGATGCGCGTCCTGAATTGTACTGCAAGTTACGAAGATGGATAAATCATCATGAACACCTGCAAAGGAGCCCAACTTCCAACAGGAACAAACAGTTCGACCCTGTATTGCAACGTGGTATTTGTCATTATTATTATTTCTTCCTTGGGTTCCTAGTGGAACATGGGGCTTCAGTAGCACATCTCCATTACACTCTCTTCTCTGTAGTCTTTTCAACCTGGCCCCATGATTACTCAGGAGTTCTCATTTCTTCCTCAAACTATCTCCATGTCACCTTTGGATGCCCAACTCGTCGTTTCCCACCGCATTCCACTAGAGGGCCTAGCCTGGCGCGTGATATCCCCGAATGGTTTTCTCAGTGTACGCCCAATCCAATTCATCTTCATTTTATTCTGCATATTTTTGGGTGATGAGTACTTGGTTGGTTCGTTGCAGAGCCGGCCTGAGTTCCTTGTTGCTTATTCTTATTATTCTGGCCATCTGATCTGATCGTCAGTATCGAGTGTTCGTAGGCAGCAAGTGTTGATGATTGTCTGTAGTTTGTTGGAAATGCTTTACGTAACTCGCCGAGTCTCTGAACCATCACATAGAAGCACTGATTTGACGTTGGTATTTTAAATCCGGATCTTGTCCATGCTTTATGCCGAGTGCAGTAGATCTCCATACTGATTTCAGATTAATGCAGGAAGCCTTATCTTGCTGTCCTTCCAATCCTGGCTATTTTGACATCCTCGTCTGTGTCACCGCCGTCACCTGTAGTTGAAACGATGCTGCCCTGACTAAGTAGGTAAAAAAGACGACTTTCTTCACTTTTCTTCCGTTGATGGTACTTGTTGTTGTTGGTGGTTGGGTATCTTCATCACCTCTGTCTTCCCTACTTTCACCTGAAGGAAAACCCATCTTCTCTGCTCTGCCTCTTCTGTCAACTTGTTAGTTTTCGCCTGTAGATCTTCGAGTTTGTGCTATAAGACATTAGACATAAATCATCATCGGTGGTGAAATCCAAATCTTCTTCTGGGGTCTTTCCATCGGTCAAACAGCGTATGCTCATCTTCTCACAGTGACTCACAGTTTGTTGCATGATCCGCTCGAATCTAGTCGGCCACAATCAGGAAGATCATCGGTGATAGTAGGTGGCAATCTTGTCTTACTCCCGTCCTCACTTCAAAGACATCTCTAAGCTTTCCATTTTGAGTCACTTGGCATGTATAGTGAAATAGCGTATAGCTGTTGAATGAGGTTGATAAAGGTTCGTGGCACTTAAATGGTAGTGTCGAAGCAGCTATCAGATTACTTTCGGTTGATGCTATCGAAGGCCTTTTCAAGTTCGATGAAGATGAGGTCGAGGTTGAGTTGAGTAGACTGCCATTCTATGCTCTGTTCTATGATGATGCGTAGTGTTACAAAGCTGTATTACAAGCATAAAATAACAGGTTGTAGTTATTTGATAGCATTTACATCCTTTTATATAAGGCCATTCTATTTTATTAACATCTTGAATCTTGATGCGAGTGAAACACACATAGCCACCAGAAGAGGACAGGAGACACACGAGATGTATTCAAGACTGGTTTATGCACTTTGTTTTGTGGAAAATAGCAGAAAGTGATACACTGACAACGGTCCACATGCAACTAAGTTTTGGTGTTCAAAAATTTAAAAACTCTTCAACTTATTTCAAAAACAGTCTTTAGCCACTTACAGATACTGACCCCCAAGTGAGCAAGTATGTTTCTCTTAGTGACAAGATGCCATAAGATAATGATCACTTGCAGGCGCGGTAACATACTACGATAATGGACAAGATACAGAATAATCAGCCAGTGATTTCTTCACATGTGATTGATACCACCTTACCAATATAATTATTTCAAATATAGGAGTTTATTGTTTTGATAACAAGTTTTAGCTTTTCAATACAATGTCTGACTCTTTGGCAGTATATCAGTAGGAACTGTAGTGGCTTTTATGAAGCAGTTTTCATATGGATGGTGCAGTTTTTACTGAGGAGGCAAACGAGACAGAACCTTTCACAATTATGCACAGTTCAAGTTACTGCATATAGCTATAGTATGTCATGAGGAATGAATACCAATAAAAAGAAAGCTATTTAAACAAAGTTAATTGTCAGCAGTGTATAAATTTGTATGATAAAAAAACTAGGAAACCAATTGAATGAAGGTAAATTACAGTCGACCTTTGAAGTGAAGACAGGAGTGAAACAAGGCTGTCTACTATCACCCATCATCTTCCTGACTATGGTCGACTAGACTGGGTCATGCAGCAAACCGTGAGAAGCGAGAAGAGAGGGATACGCCAGACCGCGGAAAAGATCCTAGAAGATTTGGATTTCACCGATAACTTGTGTCTAATGTCTTGTAGCATAAACTCGAAGATCTACAGGTGAAAACTAACAAGTTGACAGAAGAGGTAGTGTAGGGTAGGGCAGCGAATAGGGGACTTCATTCACGTGAACGTAGAGAAGACAGAGGTGATGATAACACCCAACCAACAACAACAACACCGCCACCACCAACAACAACAAGAAGCTGCAATCATGATCAATGGGAGGAACTTAGGTGAAGTAGCCTGTTTCACCTGTCTAGGCAATGCAGCATCGTTTCAACTACAGGTGGTAAAGGCACAGACGAGGTTGTCAAAGCAGCCAGCATTGGAAAGACAGGAAGACTGGCATTCATTAGCCCAAACCAGTGTGGAGATCTTCTGCACTCCATTCAGCATAGAGCATGAACAATATCCGGATTTTCAACACCAATATCAGTCAAGTAAGCCAGTGCTTCTATTTGGTGGTTGAGAGAGTTGGTGTGTCATGAAAAGCATTTCCAACAAACCACAAGCGTTCATCAACACGACTGCTGCTTACGTTGGCTCGTTACTGAAGCTCAGATGGCCAGAATAATAAGAATGAGGAACAAGGAACTCTGGCTAGCTGGCTGGCTGGCAACGAACCAACGAAGTAAGAAGCTATCACTCAACAAATATTCACTGGAAAGAAGTGGAGATGGATTGGATTGAGCATACACTGAGAAAACCATTCGAGGACATCACGCGCCAGACCAGTCACTCGAGTGTAACCCAGATGGGAAACGACAGGTTGTGTGCTTGAGGCGAGGGTGACATGGAGGAGATGATGTGAGGAAGAAATGAGAGGTTGTGGGTAGTCGTGGAGTTATGTTGCAAATTTTGGCAGAGAAGAGAGTGTAATGGTGACGTGCTCCTGAAGCTTTATGTTGCACTAGGAACCCGAGGGACAAGTAATAATGATAATTTAATTACAATTGAATGAATGTATAGTGCGAAGGCGTGTTCCACACTGCGAAACATTCTGTCATGCTGCTTACACCATCCAGTCATCAGTATCATATCTTCTGCAGCATGGGCTCATGTGGCTTGCTATTCTGTGCATAATCTGGACCGACGATTCCAGATTCTTTGGATTTATTTAGCGTCAAAGATTGTGCTAGTCTATTCTGTTAGTGCGAGAAATGATTTGACATGCTTCAACACTTTTCCAACGCACAAAACTCAATACTCTTCGCCTTATTTCTAATCAATAAGAACAAGACAGATATCAGCGAAGAGGAAATATTTCTTTTCAACGACTTCATTATCAAACTGTACAGCAGTCTTATTTATACTCGGTAAAGTGACAGATAATTACACTGAAAACAGTTACTCAGTCAATATGTAAAATATACAATCAGTGTAGGTGATGGTATTTATTCAAGTGGAAGAGATAGGAAATGGGTCATTGAAAAAGGAGCGACGAATTGATAACAAGTGGTGAGATAAGAGATAAGTGTTGTCAAAGTATTGTAAAACGGTGATAATTAAGCTGAAATGTGTACAATAGGTCAATGAATAAGGAATGTATTGATATTAAAGAGTGAAATATGGGTCAAATGTTGTCAATGAAGTGAAAATTGGCGATAATGGTGATGATAACAGAAGGGAAGTACACCAAAGTGAAGTTGACAAAGTCAGCAAAATGAATTGTTAAGGCCAATGTAGAGAAAGTGCTTTCACAAAACGTTTTTCAATGCAAAGTTTTGGCTTTTGTTCATGTATAGCTAAATGCTTCAGCTATGCATAAATGGTGGAAACGTATACCTTTGGAGTAGTTGAATTTAACTTTGTAAATTATTTTGAAGGATGAGTCTTGAGGTGTTGAATGACCTAATTCAATAAGGTGT